GTTAAAATAAGAAGCTGAAAGGATGAAGAGAGAGAGAGAGAGCAAGGGAGAGAGAGAGAGAGAGGAGAGAGAGAGCAAGGGAGAGAGAGTGGGGAGAGAGAGGGAGGAGAGAGCGGGGAGAGAGAGAGAGACAGAGAGACAATGGAGAGAGACAGTGAGAGAGAGAGTGAGAGAGAGAGAGAGAGAGGAGAGAGAGAGTGAGAGGAGAGAGAGAGAGCAAGAGAGAGAGAAGGGGAGAGAGAGAGAGAGACAGTGTAGAGAGAGACAGAAGAGAGAGAGAGAGAGAGAGAGAGAGCAAGAGAGAGAGAGTGGGGAGAGAGAGAGAGAGAGAGAGAGAGGAGAGAGAGGGAGACAAGAGAGAGAGAGACAGAAGAGAGAGAGAGAGAGATGGCCGTGTGTGTTTTATCTGGAGCTCTCTGCTCTCCAGGCATCTGTCCTCTATTATCTCTGCAGGCTTTCTTTATAAAGAGCCGAGCGGGGACGAGAAACGCAGCAGCAGCAGAGGCAGCAGCACAGCGGGCTGGTAAAAAGTGGGACATGGATAATGGCTTCTGTGTTAAGTTGCACAGGAAGGACGGGCGATTTACTGCATGGACACTCTGCACGCTAAGGAAACATCCTCCTCTGTTTTCTTGAGACTTTCCTGCACAGCGTCAGAGTTGTCATCCTGCCTCGTCTGAATACAAGACGAAGCGTCTTCAGGAGGGAATGCAGGTAACGTTACACAGCAATGAGCAAATATTTCATGACATTCTAAACAAAAGGACTCATTAAGAAATTTACTCTGAGGAATGTTTATAAGAGAAGTCTTCCTCTAAATCACGACCCTGTTCTTAAAAGGCACAATATGCGATTTGTCAACACTTAAATATAATAGAAATAGAAAAGTATATCCTCTGAAAATAACTCTGTGAGTCATGACTGTCTACAATGCGTGTGACACCCGAGTCCTATCTTCACTTTGTTTACATCGCCAGGACGGCCGGCCAGCTCATCCCCCTCGTGTATAAAAGTTGTTTAATTGAGGGACTAGAGAAAAGAAGAATAACATACTGTACTCACTGCTTAACTGCGTTTCTAGATCACGCTCATTTCAGGTAAATTTACATGCAGTACGAGCATAATAAAGATCGCTAGCATTAGCATGCTAACACAACAATGCAGCGCGAGTTGTTTTGGTTTCATGCTGGTGCTCAAGGGCGACATCTGCTGGATCAAAAAAACGCATATTCTGCCTTTAAGCAGCATTATTGTGTCGCACCTGTGTTCTCTCTCACCTGTGTAAACGCCATGTCCTTATAAGTTTGAAGTTCGTACAGGTTGTTTATAATTAGCAGGTAAAACAATACCCAATGTCCATATAAGGGCATGACACCGCAGGGCAGTATGCACACAATCAGGTGCATTCATTGAGGGAGATTAGTGCGACGGCAGACGTAACCAAACTAGCGCTGGTGCTAACGATGCTAACTGGACGTCTCCCGCTATGTTGACGAGCAGAGACGCCTGATTGGACCACGGAGGTCGCTGCGGCTTCATACAACCCTCTGACCACACAGACCCAAATGGACAAGACCCGGTCGGACTTCAGGTTGGTGGGACAACTTTGATCATTGCAGAGAAATGGCGAAAGATCAGTGCGCACGGGGACGCTCTCCGATGATTCCCCGAGTAAATATGAAGAGCGAGCGTTTAATTAAAAAGAACGGTGACCACGCTCAGGTGACCACAGCCACATGAATCGGGAGGTGTAAACACAAAGCGAGGGTGTTCTTACTGGATGAGCGGCCTGCGGCACAGCACCAGGGCGTCGTACAGCACACACACGCCGAACACGGTGATGCCCGTCTCCTTCACCAGCATGGCGCAGGTACCGAGCAACAGACTGACGAGGAGACAACGCGGAGAGACAGTGGAGGGGAAGGAGTCCTCGGAGACGTACACCCCCACGCTCCTGGGAGGGAGAGAGAGAGAGAGAGAGAGAGAGAGAGAGAGAGAGAGAGAGAGAGGGGGAAGATTTAATCGCACTAAAACAAAAACTTTAGTTACACAAGCTTCATTCTATCTGCAGCTGCATGCCTGTGAGTGTGTCTGTGTGTGTGTGTGTGTGTGTGTGTGGGTGGTGCAGAGTCATCTTACCTGATGTAGGAGAGAAACGTCAGCAAGAAAAGCAGACAGGCCAAGACGTCAGCTCTGCCCACGATCCCAGACACCTGAAACACACACACACACACACACACACACACACACACACACACCAGACACACACCAGACACACACACACACACACCAGACACACACACACACACAGAGATATTAGTCATTGTGAGGACACAGAGCTGGAGTTCATTATTGAGGCACCTTTACAGCAGAATCACTATGATCAGAGCTCAGTCACAAAAGAACGTTTATATGTGAGCACAGAAAAAGAAACGCGCTCGCTGTGTTAAGAGTGTGACACGATCTGTACTCGCTCATGTTTGATTGAAGACAACACTTCATGTTCAGTGCAATAAAGAAAAACTCAAAGCGTACACATCTCTCGACTCGCTTTGTTCTATTTGGTCATGTCAGGACTTTAAATACAGAGATTCTTCAGATGGTTTTTGTGTATTGAGTATTCAGCCACAGGTAGTGTTGTAGTCAAGACTACTCTAACTGAGACCGGAGTGCTCAGAGACCGAGTCGAGACCAAGACTATGAATATCTCTGAAAAATCATCATCTTGTGAGCAGCGGGCCTGTCACTCACTTGAAACTATGATCGGGGGGTTTCAAATCTAACTTTGAATGAATGAAGACTGCAGGCTGTGATGGGGCTGCTCTCTCTCTCTCACTCACTCACTCTCTCTCTCTCTCTCTCTCTCTCTCTCTCTCTCTCTCTCTCTCTAAAAAGCTGTTTTTAGCAGCTGGAACATTTTCAGGATGTATTTCAGACTTTTGGTAAAACACAGACTAAACTGTTGGCTCTGTGTCCGCCGAGAAAATAGGAAGGATGACTTTTCTGTCTCCTTAAATCCGCTGGTGTTTCTCCATTAAGGTGATCTACTGTATCAGCTGCAGTTCCAGCCTGTGGTTCCTGTGTGTGTGTGTGTGTGTGTGTGTGTGTGTGTTTGTGTGGAGGAGTCTGGCAGAGGAGCAGTAAACATGTCCACCTAACACTGATAAAGAGCAGGCCGCGAGGGGGAGAGAGGATGGAGGGCAGTGCAGGGAGGAGGAGGAGGAGGAGGAGGAGGGAGGACTTTCATGTGATAAAAAAGAGCAAAAGAAACCTCAGCGGCTCCCACACACCACACACACACACACACACACACACACACACAACACACACACACACACACACACACACACACACACACACACACACACACACACACACACACACACACACACACACACACACACACACACACACACACACACACACACACACACACACAACACACCACACACACACACACACACACACACACACACACACACACACACACACACACACAACACACACACACACACACACACACACACACACACGACACACCACACACACACACAACCAGGCCGAAGCAACAGAGAGCGAGTGGGAGACAAAAGAACAGGAGACATATTAGATTACAACAGGATAAAATAAGCCGGGTAGACGCTCAAAGCGCTCTCGTTGCCAGGATGTGTAATGGAAATCCTTGTTTTGGTTGTTTTACTTCATGTTGCATTCAGGCTCCGCGGGAGAGAACAAGACTGCTCACTGTTTTATTTAAGACAGAAGCATGAAGACACATTACAGACGGTTCCTGTTGCTTTGAAGAGACACTGAAATACAGATCAGAAGATATCAGTTTAATGCTCAGAGAGTGTGGGTTTCTGTAAAGTACCAAAACAACAACGAGCACCATTCTGCCGTTTCAGAAAGTGAAATATTTCTTGCGAATGTTGAACGTTTATTGTTTGCGTTCAGTTAAATGTTTTAGCGTCTGGTGAAATGTTGTTGTTTTTTTGCAATCACGTAAAACATCTGTAATAAATAACATGTTGTCTGTCTCCCCGTTGGTACCTCCATCGTGTTTCCATCGCCACACACTGGAAACCTCGGAGTCATTTCCAACAGCGACATCTCGTTCCAACAACGTGTCAGGGATATGAGCAGAACTGTCTTCTTCAATCTCAAAAACAGAGCACGTCTCCGCCCATCGCTCTTCTTCTCTGCTGCAGAAAAAACCTGATTCAGGCATCCATCACAACGAGAGTCGACTCCTGCAACGGCCTTCCACATGGTTCTTCATCCAAAGTCCTCCACGGACTTCTTCAGTTCATCCAAAAACTGCTGCTTGCCTGTTTGCTCACACACTCTTCTCAGTGACCGCATCACCGCTGTCCTCCAGAACCTCCGCTGGCTCCCAGGTCGAAGTCCTTCTCCTTACCCTCAAAGCCTTCAAACACCCGACCCCCTCCTCCCTCGCTGATCCCCTTCACCCCTCATTCCTTCCTCTCTGGTCTGCGCTCCTCTGAAGCCAACCTCCGCTCTCCATCACTCAGGAACAAGCACCGAACCTGCGGGGCCGTAGCCTTTTCCACTAATGACCCCCCCCCCCCCTTTCCCCTGGAACGCTGACCCCAAACACATCTGAGACTTTACCGACCTTCCACGATTTGCACACATCCGCTCAATAAAGAATCAAATCACAGTGCGAGAAGACAACTTTCTAAAAGTGTTCAGATATGTGAATCATTTCCTTTAAAGAGAGAGCCAAATGTCACTGAGTATTTCCAGAGGAGGGCGTGTCGGAGAACAGCTGCAGCCGCTGGAACATGTGGGTGTCAGCACTTATACATACACACACACACACCACTAACAAACGCACACAGCTAAGATCAAAGGAGATCATTTACATCCTAAAGTGGACAGTTTCTGACTGAGTTTGAAGAGTGTGTGTGTGTGTGTGTGTGTGTACTGAAAAGACTTTGCTTCATCACCTACAAACACTTGAGGGAGGCCTGGATGGTCGGAGATGAAAGGAGGAAGAGAACAGAGGAAGAAGTGAGGGATGAAGAGTGATCGAAGGTGCAAGATGAAAGAAAGAGTCGTGTGTGTGTAGAGGGGTGAGCGCAGACTTGTCTCTCATTTCATAAATAAAAGATGTGTGTGAAGCCTCTCTCCCTGGACGGACACACGACTCAGGTCTTTTGCAGAACAAAACACATGTTCGTCCAAAAACCCAAATCATTCCGTGCACAACATTTTACCGACATGTTAAAATATGTTGACTGACTAGGAGAGAGCGTGATGACCTCGATACTGATATAAGACAGGATCGGTCCATCTCTAACAGTAGGAGATGACCTTTGACATACGAACAACAGAGAGCATATGCCACTGTAACCTGACCTTTGACCCTTCTCTCTTCAGCAGTTTTTACATCAGGCTGATTTAAAGACGGTGAAAGACTCGCGCTTCTGCTCCGTCTTATTTCTCCTCCTGCACCTCTCTTTAAAACTCCCTCAATCAAAATCCATCAAACGTCTCCGGCTCATCTGACATGCAGCTGCAAGAATCTTTAACAAGCGCTAAATATAGAAACAGCATCACTCCTGTTTTAGCTCGACATTAGCTACGAACCGAGAAATTGAGATAACAAAAGAATTTTGATACAAAAGAGCGGTTCTGTGTCTTTATCTTCCTCTTGCATGGTGCAAACTTTACCCAAGTGCAAGAACACGTTCACTGGCTCGACCCTTTAATCTCATCAAGGACGTATTTTAAAATGAACTCAGCTGTTAGCCTGATTAAAAGATATAAATGACTCCATGCAGATGCAGACAAAGTGACAACAAGAGGGAAGAATGAAATATACCTACAGTATTTGTCTCACTCTCCACCCGCTCTCTCTTTCTCTCGCTCGCTCTCTCTAATTCGGATCCATTACATAATTGTGCAGGAATTTGAGCTCAGCTGCAGCCTCTCTCTGCACCCAAACCCAGAACAGGGGGAGAGGAAGTGTAGAAGTACAGCTCGCTCTAACACACCCAAACACCCAAACACACACACTGAAGCAGTGTGACTTTTCGCAGGCAGCCTGTCACCATGGGGACGCTGCGAGGAGAGTCGACTGTCCCCTCGGCTCTGTGTGTCCCGGCCTTCACCTAAAACTTCCGGAGACAGCTTTACTCCGTGTGTGTGTGTGTGAGCGAGAAAGAGAGAGAGAGAGAGAGGGTGTGTGTGTGTGTGTGTGTGTGTGTGTGACAGAGAGCCCAGAGCAGCACGGCACACATATGGCTGATGGGATCCACACATGGGCAGCGTGCTATCAGCAGACAGAGGAGAGGGAGGAGGTGAATGGAGGCTTTTCAGCTCTGAAACAGGAGACTCATTCACGGTGAACGGACCCACATTAGACACAGGAAGACAGACGAGACTGTCCGAAACGCGGACGAACTGAACTGACCCCTGGATCTGCTGAACGTCTTTACTATAAAATAAAGATGATTCAGTGGAGAAAAAAAAGGAGATATTTACTCTGAGAGACAAACGGCCTCGAGGGTCTTTCTCTGTTTTAAATGACTAAGAAGCAGAAAGACATTACTGATACGAGTTTCTGATGACAGATTGTTGATTCACAACTGTATCGAGATGCAAAAAAGAACATCTTCAATATTTTATAAAGAAATAAACTTGAGATAATAGACTGCTGCAGTCACTTTGTGAGATGTGTGGCTCAAAAACCTTATTTATCAGATACTGCCGTCAGTAAAATCCCTCATTCCAGCCTCTACCTGAAACGCTTCATTTCAGTTACTGTCTCTTTAAGCCTCTTCCCACATGCCCACTCTCCTTCGATTGGCCAGCTCTGTGTGCAGTCTCAGGGACATCTGAGCGGTGGCCGTGACCTTGAAAGAGCTGCAGGGGGGGTGTGTCCTCTGACTTTGCTTTATGCTTTGCTCTGATACCTGACGTCAGGTTGTGGCCAAGTCTCGCCAAGTTCTCGTAATGTCTCGTTCAGAGCGGCAGGAAAACCACGTCCAGGATTACACCAACACCTGAGTATCTTTACCCAGGTTTAGTCAGGACATCCAACGTCCTAACATTATACGTATGTATTTAAATATGGATCAGCAGAATAAATCTCCTTTAAACCCAGATATGAGTTAGCATTTTAGCACTACCGTTAGCACCATCGTCTCGAAGAATGAGTTTTGAAAAGTTCTGGCACGAACAAAACATATTGAATCTTTTTATTTATTTATTCAAACAGATTCTATCATTTAGCATTATTTTCAAAATGAAGCTATAAAGAACAATAAAAACCCTCAGGTGACTATAACAGACAAATGAATGTTTCCACAGCAATAATGCATGCAACCTACAGCGCAACAATAGTGGGTGCTTTTAGATGGGGCCGCTTTAGGGGGGGTTTACTACTGTCATTGCAAATTTTGCACATCTTGAGCGAGTGTTGTGGTTTAAAGTTTGTCAGCCCTAGGGGGCCCGATACTAGCCTGGGGCCCCTATGTGGTTGCCTGCCTTACCTGTTGACAATCAGCGCCCCCTGCCACTAATGTTTAAGGCTCTGGTGAGAAATAAGTAACCTCCTTTCCTCCGCTAATGTGCTGCAATCTGCTCCTCTCTGATGCTGTGTCACGAGCTGCTGCTGCTGCAAAACAAAACCATTTAGCCGTTGGTGGTAATGATGTGAGCTAATGTTTTCAACAGACTAAAGAGGGAACTAAATGACCAGGATGAAAGAGTCTGCCGTTCATGAATGTTCGCCGACAACGAAACAGAAAGAAACGAGCTTTGAGGACATTTTCAGTGATCACTGACGACAGACGAAGGAGAAGTCGCCGAGTGGTTTTTATCGAGAAAGAAAGTCAGAAGAAGAAATCCTGCACTCCGCTAAAGTGAACGGGCACTGAATGTTTCAGTTTAGATCATGTGTGGGGCATTCAGCAGGAAACACCCTCTCCCAAAGGCCTCACTAATTCTAACACAACAACCTCGGCTATTTATTTTATTTTCTATAGAACCAGATTGGTCCAATTCTGATTCAGAACCTGGCCAAGACAGTCAGCAGCACAAACGCACTAAGTTACAGACGGAGACACAAAGAGAGACAGAGAACAATTCACCAAACACTAACATATGCATCAAAGAGAAAAACCATCTATGAGTCAACTCTGGGGGTCAGTAGTACAAGCAGTCGAGCTAATAACATCCACATCCTGTGGAATCTGCTTCCAGGTCTTTCATTTGAGATTTAAAAACATTAAAAGGAGTCCAGCTCCTTGAGTTTAAAGTCACTGTGCAACAGACTCCAGGCTGAGGCTGCAGAATACGCCAAAGACCTTTTCCCAGTTTCTGTCCTAACGTTTGGGGCAGGGAGTGTAAAGAGGTCCTGAGATTGCAAAGAATACGGTTACATTTTCTGCATGATAAAAACATACAGGCAGTGTGGGAGCAGACCAAGGATCGCCTTCTATGTATACAGCCCTCCAAACAGGCCTCTGGTTCTTTTTTTTTAAATTCTTTTTAAATGTGACTAAACAAGACAGAAGAAGGAGAGAAGGGGCATGAGTCAAACCGCCTGGTGAAAAATGTTTTCTGTGTTTCTCCCCCCAAAAGTCTCTGCTCCTGTGTGTGTGTGTGTGTGTGTGTGTGTGTGTGTGTGTGTGTGTGTCTCCACCAATCTCCTTCCTTATCACAATGAGAAAAATAAACTCCATCTGGTCTTAATGACGAAGGCTGTTTATCCTGAGGAACAGTCTGGGATTCATCAGGCTGTGTGTACCCCGAGAGTGTGTGTGTGTGTGTGTGTGTGTGTGTGTGTGTGTGTGTGTGTGCATCACTACTTTACTCATAGGAGCACTTGCTTTCTTCAAATATATGCATGTAGCTCTGAGCACTAGGATTGAACTTGGATAGTTTTATTTTCACATCACTCCAGGTTGGCAAAATATTAACCCAGGGACAAAAGATCAATCGAATAAAGCAAAGAAGGAAAGCGCAAAGATTTGTGGTGGCATGCTCGTTTAGCTGGTAGCAGCAAAGTCAGTAGAAAAACATCATGAAGTCATCGGAACATGATGGGTATAAACAAACCTCTAGTTCGCCAAACATATTCAAGATGGAGTCAGGCGCTTTCTCCTTCAAAATAACATACAGACTTCTCCTGAAGTAAAGCTGCTCCATCGTCCCTTCTGGGCCTCCGTACATGTGTGGTGGTGACTGTGTCTCCAGAGACTCTGTCCTCTGACTGGATTTTACTGTTCTGCTTTGTTCCGGTTGACTCGGGACGTTTCTGGGCGGAGCTGGAGTGTTTCCACCAGCCAATGACAGCGCAGCAGGTGAGTTTAGGAGAGGATACAGTTCAGTGATTGGACGCCATTCAATGCGGTGAATATGACGGGCGTGGACGTAGCAGCAAAGAAGAGAAAATATAATCACAGTGAGGAGAAACACCAAGTGGATAAAGCTCGTTCTAAAACGAGGGTTGAACGAATTGATAATTATCTAAACAACTGAAGCAAAAGACGTGAAACTTAACGAGCTGCTCTGATTGGACGCCTTTTACAGGATGTGTAATGACTCTGAGGCGGACACATCTGTCTGCAGATGTTCTGACTGATGTTTTTATGATTGTGGACGATCTGTGCATGATGGGATTAAGAGCTGGGTTTGTTGTTGTTGTTGGCTGTACACTACGGAGCCCTGTGGGATACTTTGTTTCCTCTTTATGGCGTTCATTATTTCTCCCTAAACAAGGAGAGCGCCACAATATCCCAAACTCAATATATAGTGGACCTATTATTTATAGTAAAGAGTTTTTTTGTTTTTACTTTTGAGTTCAGATTTTTGTTAACAAGACAAACAGAGGAAAGAAAACACAAAAAAAGAGGTGAGGGTTATAAATACAAGATTCTAATGCTTCTGCACAGCGAGCACGTCACATGTGAGGGTCCGTGCATCAGTTCAGTCTGTCTGCTCGCTCTTCCAGGTTGAACGGCACGCTGGGAGACGAGCTGAGAAATGAAACTCTCTCCTCGCCGGCCCGGAGACTTTGAGACTTTATTTCTGACTCCTTCACGCTTCCTGCTCTCGCCTTCTTTCTTTTTTTTTTTTTTCTCTCTGTCTTGTCGTTTTGCTTCCCCTGCTCCCTTCCTCTCCCTCTCCTCTGAACTTCCCCTTTGCGCTCTCTCTCTCCTCCTCGTCTCTCTGCTCAGGGAGTCAGGGGAGCGTCCTGGCAGGAGGTCGGGTCCTGCTACATCCCCCGCTGCTCTGCATTCATCTCTCCCTCGCTCTTCCTCCCTCTCGTTTCCTTTCATGGCCCCCTTCCACCATATCTCATGCATTTCTCTGTCTGGGCTCGGCTTATTCTTCAGGCCACACACACACACACACACACACACACACACACACACACACACACACACACACACACACACACACACACACACACACACACACACACACACACACACACACACACACACACACACACACACACACACACACACACACACACACACACACACACACACACACACACACACACACACACACACACACACACACACACACACACACACACACACACACACACACACACACACACACACACACTCTGCTCCATTCATCCCCCCTCACCCGCCTCTCGTTTCAATTTCTCTGCAGAACATCTGAGCTCTGACTGTCACACACCTGTTGGAGCCGGGGAGAGGAATAATAATCAGGGATTTTGCATATCTTTCACAACTCGAAAAACCTGAATCACCAGCTCTCGGAGTCATGTCGAGGTAAATGTCGCCCTTTGGGAATACGCGGGAAGCCGAGCGGAGAATCTGAATAGCAAGAGGGGACACAAATCTGCAGTCAGGAGTGGAAGAGTTATCCAGGTGACATCCTGAGCTGATCTGAACAACAACCTGCTCTTTTCCTCAAACATACTTTGCAAAGATATTTTTTACTTGCGGGACAACAAGTGAAGAGGTCAGAGGTCAGACTTGGGCTGTCAGGATACCAGAATTTTAGATTTTGATACGCCGCTCAGCTGCTAAAAATAATATACCTTTTTGACACCAGGTCCCTACCAGCCTGGCTCCCAAATATTGGGTCATTTCCATCCAAGCTACCAACAGTCCATTGATTTCCTTTCTCAACCTAACCTGCCAATCGCCTGCGTTGGGCGGATTTCCTGCCCATTGTCTTTACAGATTTGTTCTTTTCCCAGCAGCAGGGTCCCAGTAGGTTAAAGGTCAGAGCTCCAGTTGTTGCTATTTTAGAGCAATGTATCACTTTGCTGAAAGGTCAAAGATTCTATTTCTTCTGTGCACTTGTCTTGTATTTGTAGTAACTCTGTAGTTAAAGAAGTTAAAGTGAAAAGGTGTGTGTGTGTGTGTGTGTTGTGTGTGTGTGCGCTGTACTCACAGCCTCGGTGTGGACGGGGTGCACAGCGAAGAAGAGCGCCGTGACGAAGGCGAGACGCGAGTCCTCAAAGGTGCAGCGCTCACAGGTGTGCATGAGCAGGCAGGTGACGGCGCAGTGCAGAAACACGTTGACGACGTGGAAGTAGAGCGGAGTCATGCCGCCCAGTAGGATGTTCAACCTGACAGAGAGAGAGAGAGAGAAATATGATCTAGTCAGGAGCTGGTTTACTGTTAAATACAATGGATATGTATGTGAATTGGCTTTTGGATCAATCCATACAGAAAATAATGTGCAATGTTTTTTATCTTTCGTTTTTTTTTGGACATTAATTTGACCCCATCAGCACCACAGGCCTTACAGACACGCTCACAGAACGATGCATGAATAAATACACCCAGTGTCATCACGTTAAAACAGATGACACTGTGAGAGACGGAAAAGCTCCTCCTATCCAGAAGAATCACTCAGCTCTGCAGCGCGGCAGATTTACTGCAGGAATCTCCAAAGTAAATTACCTTTCACATTTCCTCGATGAAGCGATTGTCTCGTAATCCTGCGCGGAATCTAAATCCATTTTGGGCGTTTCATGAATTACAAATGAAAAGAGTCTGATTGCTTGGAGAGAGAATGACGGATTCTCAACACCAAATCAAACCCTGCTTAAGATCCCCGCCGCAGCTAATCCCTCAGCGAGGAATAACAGTGAGATGTGCAATTTTCAGCGAGTTTATCATAATTGGCATTACGCTGTGACAATTCCCTCTCCGCCCCGCAGAATACAAACAGCCTGATGAGGGCAGACCAAGACAGAGTGAAGCTCCATGCATCAGACGGTTTATCTTCTAACCTGATGATTCAGAGCGTTATCAAATATTGATTTAGATTTGGGAGCATAAAAAATGTCTTTAGTTTCTTGTTTCTCATCTGTGATGTTTGCAGAGCGACGTCGGTGCAGGGTTTTAAATCAGACGGCTCAGTTAGTATCAACTCCATATTTATTTATATCTATACAATGACGGGGAACGATTCCTCAGGGTCTACATTTGGTTTTTATTCACTCTGTTGTGTAAATGTTTAAGGAGGATCCACTTCAGTGTCTTTAAGCGGTAGATGTGGTTGGTTGTTGGACAAGCAGGGTCAGTACTGATGTCCCACCTGAGGGGGGGGTCTGGTGGCTCTGATTCTGCACCCGTCATTAGCAGCACCTGCGGAGGAGCGGGCCGGGCTCATTTCGACTTGAATGGACGCCACGAGGGAGACGGCAAGACGCAAGACACTGGAGACAAATGAGCTTGTTTTATTTCTGTGTCGACACTTCGCCTCGGGTGAATGCACGTCCTCTAAACTTCCCTATCCAAACGAAAGAGCGCCGGCCAGCGAAGGAGATTACAGCCGCCGTCTCTGTGGATCAGGCCGTCCGAGTGGGCTGGTCACATGCGCGCTGGAACATGTTTGCTGCGCGGTACAAATGAGCGCATGACTTATGAATGCACACGCGCCAACACACCGTCACCACATTTCAAGTTACTGTCATTACAGGCTGCCGTTATCAAATGAAACGTCTTTAATATCTTAATCAAAAAAACAAAAAAAAGTTACAGTGCAGAGCAAGAGTGACAAGACATTCAATATGTGTCCCTCCCCTTGTCCACCGGGGGCGCTGCAGCACCCTCAGAACCCACCTTCCGAGGGTACTTGGCAGTGACTGCAGAACGCTCCTTACAGACAGAAAGTCGCAAGGTAAGGCAGGTAAGGAGAGGCACGAGGTCACAGGCTCACTGGTCCTAGAGTCAGGCTTTTGGCTATCTTTGAGCTAGCGTAGCGTAAAAATTCTGATGTCATGTCTTGCCGTTTTTATCATGTTTGATATCTCTGTCATCAGTGGCACCTGTGCTTAAAGGTTATGCAAGTTAATTAACCAAAATAATGACATCATGGAGTTACAGGGTACTTGTTCTTCGTCTTTCATGCATTGGTTGGTATTGCCGTTCTCTCCTACTGGGAACTGAACTCTGGTGGACTTGGAAGCCAACCGAGACCCACCTTTTTTTTTTCTTTTAAAAAGGGACCAGAGTTCTGTTCTTTGGGCCGCACCAGGGTTCGTTTGAGCGTTCACACCTCACACCACCCCAGACCAAACCAACAATCCGACAAAGCGCTCCAGAGTTCGGTCTTTTGTCCCAAAGACCATGACAGCTGGTTTCACAAACGCTGGCTGGGATCATCTTTGTGATTTGTCATTTTTAGCCTCGAAACATGTTAAAAAAAATTTTTTAAAAAGGGTCCAGGTTTAAAAATAACTGAATTTCTCTAAAACTGAATACTAAAGGGGTTAATGGTCTCACTAAACTTTGAGGCTTTGCAGATGAGAGAGAGAGAGAGAGAGAGCAGACCAGATCAGGGCCTCACATCTGAACTCCTTATCGCTGGTTGTAATTAGTTCTAATGGGGTCCTCTGTGAGCCCTCGCCCACGCCATTAATCGACGAAGGAGACTGTGGCCCCTGCTGTCCGTTTTTTTATCCAGAATTCAATGAGAGCGACTGATAAAAGCTGCATGAGAGCCTTAACCCTCCCCATTATCTCCCCATGACCTCATATCTGATGCTGAGATGAGCATGCCCCCCCCCACCCCTTCCCCCTGAGGGGCCCAGCCGGGATCTGGACCCGTCGTCAAAGTGAAGGCTTCAGAGGAATTTAAATTTGCCATTTGAGGCTTTGAGCCCTGTGTGTTTATCCGGACAGACTCCCAATGAGGGATGGAGTCGAGGTTCAGTGTCCCGCTGAAGGACGATTTGACGGACGGCGTGACTGCTGATCGCCACACGTACCAAACTAATCTGTGACCTCTGCGTGACGAGCCCGCACGCCACCGGCCCTCCGAACATGAATGACAATGAGCCTGAGCGTGCAGCGGGGTTAATAGATGCTATCACTGGTTCCATCAAAAGGATGATTAATGGGACGATTTATTTTTTAGGAGTTTTGACACCCATGGTGCAAAAGAGTGCATCGACTTTTTAAAGCTTCATTTTGGGGGCTTTCATGTCATTATTCAGAGACAGGACCGTGGATAGAGTCAGAAATCAGAGAGAGAGCGGGGAACGACATGCGGTTAAAAGGAGCCACAGGTCGGATTTGAACCCGGGCTGCCTGCTTCTATGACTACAGTGTCTGTACATGGTGCACACGCTCTAACCACTTGGCTACCAGAGCCCCCTGATTTGCAACTTTTTTTTACGATTATGATGAAAGTTGATTTTCTGACATTTGTTGAAAAGACGGGAGCGGAGAATGGAATCCCAAAATGTGTCTTTTCCTGTTTCAGTTCTTTGTGTCGGCTGATAATAGTCTAAGTCGACTGAAACTTTGGCATGAAGTCCAGAATAAAGACCCTTAAACCCTTTGCACACCCAAAAACAACCACACTGACGTTCAGGGATCCACGTCACAAGCGGCCTCCCAGCAGTGGCCGGTCGCAGGAAGTATTAATGACTTTCACAAATGTGTCAGTGTGAGTATGAAGTCCTCGAGCTCTGCCAATAACTGTCAGCTGAATTTTGGCTCGGCGAAAGCTCGGCTCAGCCAGCGTCAGTGAGGAGGAGGAAGTGACAGCGAGATGAGAAGTAGGACAAAGATGACTTGATTGGTGTTTTGGGGGGGGGGGGGGGGCGCTGAATCGAGTCAGCATCCCTCGGCACACTGCAGAAACATGTTTGAGAAGAACCGCAGAAGAAGAACACACAACACGGACAGATTCTGTTGTCGTATTTATAGAAGTTTCTGTCACTTAAAACTGGGTTCTCGGAGAATGTTATATCCGACGAGTGAAGAAAAGTGAAGAGCTGCAGGATCATAGTTTGACATTTAATACACAGCTGGAAAAATGTAGAGACGCAACAAGTCAGGGAAAGGTGTGTTTATCGAGGGCAGCTACGGTTTCTATTGAGGCCGAATGATCTGTACTAACATTCAAATGTGGCCGAGCTTTTTCACATATTGAGACAACGCTTTGAGCATTTCTGCACATCATAATCCACCGCTCTCGTCGACTGACAAATCCATGACATGAGATTAAACGTACTTATTTAAACCAGAAGGGAAAAAAGTGACTTTTACCAAAAACACCAACTGCATTGGTTGACTTTAGGGATGTTCTTAGCCTCTGACACTCCCAGTTATGAGCTGCGTTATCTTTTCTGATGGAGCATGAACGAAGCGTCTGCAGGTTAAACATGTCAAACTGGTTTGCAGTTGTGTAGCTTCTGTTAGCAGAGTTAGCATCCCAGCATTGAGTCCTCTTTGCATGTTGACGTTCTGCAAGGCAATTAACCTGACACGACCTTCGCACAAATAACTGTGTACTTTATCTCCTTGTTCTAGATCATAACACGTGATACTACACGCTGTGGGTGCTGCATCAAAGTGGATTTTTGCCTTGCCGTCATCACCGGCGGAATTCTTATGTTTGGTTGGAGCACACACCAGGCAACACTGATTTCACAACTTCCATCAGCCACATCCATCCAGTATCTCAACCGCTTTTCCCATTCAGGGTCGTGGGGGGAATGGAGCTGACACAGCCATCATTGGGCGAGAGGCGGGGTTACATCTTGGACTGTTCACCAGCCAGTCACAGGACAGACACACATTCACACTACGGACAATTTAGAGTGAGCAGTTAACCTAACGAGCACGTCTTTGGACTGTGGGAAGAAGCCCGGAGAGAACCCATCAGAATAAATCGGTGCGACAGTTAACTCGTAAATATATCAGAGATCAGGTCTATCCTGTGTTAAAGTCTCTCTGAGTCATGACTGTCTACAATGAGTGAGAAGCTCGAGTCCCGCTGGCTGTGTTGTTGTCAGAGCCGTGTTTACATGAACGGACGGCCGGCTCCTCCCCTTGTGGGTAAAAGCTGTTTTAGTGAAGGACTAGAGAGAAGAAGAAGAATAACATACTCACTGATTATTTGGATGTTAATAAGAGTTTATAGATCACAGTCTTTCCGTGTCTATTTACATGCAATGTGAAGCTACGAGCTAACTACAGAGCGCTAACATTAGCATGCTAACACAACAATGCGGGACACAGGTGACTGCAGCTCTAAACTCCTTCGTGCGAGCTTGAGGGGGAGTCGGGGTTGGAGGTGTGTCGCTGCAGGAGAGCGCAGGCTTCA